AAAAAAGGAGAAGAAGAAGACAGCCGGGGTGAAAGGAGGCAAGGAAGGTGAAGGGAAGAAGAGGGTTGGCAAGGAAGAGGAGCCGGCAGCCATAGCTGACCGGAGGGTTGACCGAGAGGGTTGACCGAGAGGGTTGACCGGAGGTGTTGACCGGTGGTTACCGGAATTGACCGGGGGTTGACCGGGGGCTGATAGCAGCGTTGATTGGCGTTGACCAAGACTTTGACCAAGCTGGAGCCGGTAACATCTCACCAAGCCTTCAGCCTACCCCTCGCCCTATGGATGTGCACACACCCCTTGGTACTTGCTGAGTCTGTCTGTCTATTCTTTCTGCATCGAGTCTCTTCTGTCCTAGGTGATAGTACTCTGTGGATGAAGGATAGGGTCTTGTTGACCAAACCCACACGGGATGAGTAGGGCTAAAAGTTGTGTCTGACGAGTCGACTGTGCCGGAGGTCAAACCCTCCCAAGGACCGGTACTGTGGGCTGCTCGGTGTGGCACGGTAGGCCTCGAAATCCAAGTTGTGGGCTGTACAACAGACCGTCTAAGTCTTGAGAGACCTGCTGATCGCGTCGTCCTGTCTGCAACGTTAAATAATTCCTGAGGAGTTCGGGGGAGCTCCTTAAATGCCTCCTGATCAGCAAAGGTCTAGTAGTGACAGCCATAGTTAGGTCTAGGCTAGAAACCATAGTTGACAGGATCCCTATCAGGATTCTGTGAGTCCTTAGATTGAGTCAGTAGGTCTGTTCGTCAGGGGTTGGAGTCCACGTGGTGAGGTTTGGAACCACTAACCCGGTTGTACACTTAACACCATGGTTGAGACCCGTACTGGGAAGGATACTAACCCCTACACCCAGGAGCAGCAAGAGAAAATGGCCGCCCTAGTGAGAGAGAACAAAGAGAGGAAGGAGCTCGAGAAGCAGGCGAAGCTAAAGGCTATCGCAGAGGAGCAGGCGGCTAAGATGAAGAGGTTGGAGGAGAAGATGAAGAGGGTGCAACAGGAGGAGGAAGAGAGGAGAAAGGCTGTTGAAGAAGAAGCCGCAGCAGAAGAAGCAGAGGAGGAGAGGAAAGGAAACGGAAAGGAAGCAGAGAGTAGTGGCACGATAAAGAGGGATACAGATGCCGCGATGGAGAAAAAGATAAGTGAGTGGGTTGCTAATTTATCATTGGGAGAAGACGAGGATGCGGAGTCGTATGTGACTCAGGATGAGAGGGATGCGCTAGGCAGTGAGCTAGCAGCAATGGCGGATCCTATGGAACGACGAGAAAGGGAGGAGGAGCAGAAGTTGGCGTGGAAGTTAAGGATGAAGAGGGAGAAGAAGAGGAGGAGAGAGGAAGTGAACAAACTGACCGCAGAGGTGGCAAAGGTGCAGGAGTGTAGGAAGGAAGTGTTGGCCCAACCAGATGACAAGGCCAAATGGGATAAGGTGTTGGGCTACCTAGAGGTGCCGAGCACCGCATGGATGGAGGAGCGCCAAGCGAGTTGGAGCCAAGAGGTAGCCCTGAGTGCCATGCGGTCGGGATTCAGAGACTTTGCGCGCGAGATCGTCACCCACATTGGGGGCGAAGTCAGGCAATTGAGGGACAACGTAGGGAAGTTTTGTGAGGGCACCATTGAGGGTGCCAAAGCAATAGCTGCTGTAGAGGGCGAGGGCAGACCCCGTAAAGAGTCTGTAAAGCTCAAGTTTCCAGACGCATACGGGGGAAAGAAGGAGGAGAACTTTGACAACTGGGAGGCCAGTGTCAATAGTTACATATATCTACACGATTCTATAGCACATCCTGTCAGAGGAACAAGTCCTCGTGGCCTTCCAGGCCCTTAAGGATGAGGCGGCTAGTTTTGCCAGGTCCCTTGTGTGCGCAGCCGGTTGTGAAAACAACCTGGTTGCATACTCCAGAGTCACCCCCCTTCCTCAATTTTTTAAGCTCCTGAAGGAGCGATTTGCAGATCCAACGAGAGGCGTCAGGGCCTCTGATAAGTTACAAACGATCCACTCACGACAGTGGAGGAGTGCAAGGGCACTCAAGGGTACAATGGACGACTTGGTAGCCGTCCCAGACCATGGGGTCACTGAGCCCCAGTTGGTTCAGTTATTTTATTGTGCCATTCCAGAGGCCCTGCGTGGGCATTTCTTTGACAAGTCTCAACAGGCCGGCATCACTTATGATGCATTGAGTAGAGAAGTCGTTCTGTATGAGTCGAAGTCCATGCCAGTTACCACTTTCTGGCACAGGGACTTGAATAAGGGAAAGAAGTGGAAAGGCCGTACCATCTCAGGCCAGGTGAGGGTCAAGGATCACATGATCCTTACTCTAGAAGAAGGTGGTACTGACGAGGTCTCATAAAGTCAGATTGAGTGGGGCCTAGAGGAAGAGGACAGTAGTATGGGGCAGGGGAGGTCCTATGCTGCTTTCGCGGCTGGAGGGAGGCCGCCAGTTAGAGGAGGAGGCCAGGGCCAAAGGGGCCAGGCCATGGGAGGCCGAGGACCGGGCGCACAGGGGGTTGGCGGACAGGGGAACCACCAAGTGGGAGGTAGGGGTCAAGGTCCCCCGCCAAATCGCCAAGGTTCCAATCGGTCCCCACAGCGACGAGGTGGAAGGGCACCTCAAGGAGGATGGCAACCAGGCTTGCCACAGGGCAGGCCCTGGGAAGATTTGGGCTTGGACCAGCGCGTATGGCAAGAACGCGTGAACTTGGGTTAGTGCGTGGTTTGTGGTGGCCCGGCCCACGTAATTAAATACTATCCACAGTACAGACAGGCCCAATGGGCTGCTCAGCCGTCAAAGGCAGCCGCCAGTAGGGGTCGCAACTGCCCCTACTTTAAGGCCATGTGGAGAAGTGAGCGCGCGCGAACAGGACACTCCCAACCCACATGAGCCTATGGCAGAGGTTGCAGGCCCGTGCCTAGCTAGCTGTCCAGAGATCGCCTGTGTTAGCGTTTCTTTAGGCACGCCCCTCACAGGTGTGGCAGAAGAGTTAAAGGAGAGGATGCCAGTCCGGGCCAAGATGAAGAAAGAGAGTAAAGGACAACTAATTTTGGTAGATGTAGAAGTTTTCAGGAGTAGAGTAGGGGCCCTTATAGACTCAGGGGCCACCCGCAGTTATATTAGCCGTGGAGCGCTGAAAAAGTTAAGGCTAGGATTGAAAGTCCAGAAGTTAGCAGACCCCATAGTCAGTGTCCTCGCAGACAACCGCACAATGCGTGTTGAGGACAATGTAGAGGGAGTCCAGGCGTACTTTCGCCTAGAGAGGGATGGGAAGGTGGAGAAAGTTCTCCATTCCCTAACTCTCCTCGTGCAGGATGACCTTCCTTTCGACGTAGTGTTGGGAATGGATTGGGGAGAGGCAGCAGGGGCCACACTCCACTTGAGAGAGCATGAGTGTAGGCTCCCTAGTCCGTCAGGCGAGGTTAAGACTACCCGCCTGTTTCATGTGTCAGGTGTAGATAACACCTTGGCACATTGTTGTCTCAGTGCTCCCGCGTTCGTGCGATTAGTGAAGGAGGAGCGATTAGAGGAACAAGTCTTTGTAGTTTATGTCAGACCTGTCACTGAGGCTAAGGAAGAGGTGACTTCCACAGATCCAACAATTGCCAAGCTGCTGGAAGAGTTCAAAGATTTGACCGAGTCGCCGACAGGAGTAGTGCCGCGACCCATCCAACACAGAATAGAGATAGAGCCTGGCAGTAGAACTCCTAAGGGTGCAGTTTACAGGATGTCCCCTAGAGAGTTAGAGGAGCTTCGCAAGCAGTTAGACAAACTCCTTGAGAAAGGTTGGATCAAGCCCAGTTCGTCTCCTTTTGGAGCACCTGTCCTGTTTGTCCCCAAAAAGGAAGGAGAGCTGAGAATGTGTATAGACTACAGGGGTTTGAATGCGATTACCGTGAAGAATGCTGAGCCGCTGCCCAGGATAGATGATCTTTTAGATCGAGTGCAGGGTTGCAAGTATTTTTCTAAGATAGACCTGAAGTCTGGTTATCATCAGATAGAGATCCATCCTGATGATCAGTACAAGACTGCATTCCGGACTAGATACGGGCACTATGAGTTTATAATGATGCCCTTTGGACTAACCAACGCGCCAGCCACCTTTCAGCGTTGTATGAATGACCTGTTTAGACCATGGTTAGGCAAGTATGTGGTAGTCTACTTAGATGATATCTTAGTTTTTAGTAAGACCCTCCAGGAGCATCAGGGTCATCTTAGGCAGGTCTTGGAGAAGATGAGAGAGGCTAACTTCAAGATCAATCCAAAGAAGTGCGAGTGGGCCAAGACACAAGCCTTGTACTTGGGCCACGTATTAGACGGAGTTGGCATTAAGCCAAAGGACAGTAAGATAGCGACAATCAGAGATTGGTCGACGCCCCGCATATTGACAGAGTTGCGGTCGTTCCTAGGCCTAGCTAACTACTATAGAAAGTCCGTGAGGAACTTTTCTACTATCGTCGCTCCCCTGCGCAGGTTGCTTAAGAAAGAGGCAATCTAGGAATGGGACAAAAATTGTACGTCTGCGCTAAAGAGACTGAAGCGCGCGTTAATAGAGTACCCTGTCCTCAAAGTAGAAGATCCGTCTTTGCCATTTGTCATCACCACGGACGCAAGTCAGTATGGAATAGGCGCTGTGTTGCAGCAGGATGACGGCAATGGTTATAGACCTGTAGAGTTCATGTCCGCGAGGATGCCCTCAGAGAAGGTAGCCACCTGGACGTACGCGAGAGAACTCTACGCTCTCAGGCAGGCTCTAGAGCACTGGAAGCATTACCTGCTTGGGAGGCACTTCAAAGTGTATTTCGACCATGAGACCCTTAGATGGTTAAAGACTCAGGCCAAGATGACACCTAAGTTGACTAGGKGGGCCGCAGAGATAGACCAATATGACTTTGAGCTTAAGCCAGTGAAGGGCAAGTACAACGTAGTTGCGGACGCTTTGAGTAGGAGATCAGACTACTTTGGAGCCATAGTACACTATCTGGATATAGGGAGAGACCTAGAGGACAAAGTGAAGCAAGCGTATGCGCAGGACCCTATCTATAGCGACCTCCTAAAGAGAGTTAGAGAGGCCCCAGAGACTGAACCAGATTACCGCACTACAGACGGGTTGCTATTTGAGAAGACTAATGTATTTGACTGCCTGTGCATTCCCAACAACGAAGAGATTCATAGTCTGATCTTAGGGGAATGCCACGATACTGAGGGACATCTCGGTTGGCAAAAGACCTTAGCCAACCTAATGCGTGCATACACCTAGCCAGGGATGAAGAATGACTTCATAGAGTATGTCCGCAGTTGTAAAGTGTGCCAGAGAAATAAGACTACTACACGCGCGGCCCTAGGTCTTCTTAGACCCTTGCCTATTCCGGACCAGCCGACACCCAAGTCAAAAGCAGACATGGCAAAAGCCAAGTCATGGTCATAGTTGACCGATTTAGTAAGTATGCAGTTTTTGTTCCTTTGCCTACAGAGGCACGCACAGATTTAGTGATACAGAAGTTCTTTGACTTGTGGGTTAGTGAGAATGGAATCCCATTGTCAATAGTTAACGATAGAGAGTCGTTTCACCAGCCAGAACTGGCAAGAACTCATAAGAGTCTACGGATCTAAGCTATTGATGTCGTTTGGCGGCCATCCAGAGACAAACGGTCAGACAAAACAGATGAATAAGATCCTACAACAAGTTCTGCGCATGTACATTAGACCCGATCAGATCAACTGGGACGAGATGTTGCCCAAAGTAGCTAGCGCATACAACAACAACGTGCATTTGTCCACCTGTTGCACTCCCAATGAGCTGCACAAATCCCTTAGACCGCGCAGACCATTCGAAGGACCGAACCGGGATCATATTCATAGACTACCGCCCGGTACCAGGGAGTTTGCGATACAACATGAGAAAGAATTAGCATCTGTTGTTGAGAACCTCAGGAAGGCCCAACATAGAATGATAGAGCAGGCTAATAAGCACCGCCGCTCGTCGCAGTTTCAGATAGGCGACTTAGTTTGGGTCAAGGCTAAAGAGTTTGCACCTGAGGAAAACATCTCGCAGAAGTTACTGCCTGCATATAGAGGACCGTGGCCGGTTCTAGAAGTCAAGGACGAAGAGGATGGACCGCCCTACACTATAGAGATCCCAGTACACCTCCACACATATCATGTGTTCCACGCTTCAAAGTTGTTGCCGTGTGTCCCAAGCCAACAGTTCCCTTCAAGACGATCTGTGATCCCTCCGGATATGGACGGAAGTTATGACATTGACGGTATTGTAGACGAGGATATGTCTAGAACAGGAGGTAGAGGTCGTCCATAGAAACAATATAAGGTCCGGTTTGCTTATCAAGAACCGGAAGACGACCGCTGGTTCACAAGAACAGAACTTCTAGAAACAGCTCCCGACATAGTCAGAGCCTATGAGCGGGATAAGAAGGGTAAAGGTCCTGCCTTGGACTGAAATATTTTCGGAGGACCTCGAATTTAGGACGGCGGGAGTGAAACGGTTTTCACCTTTTGCAGTAGCAGATGCAGATCCCAGGGTTCGATCCCTAGACCTCACCCTACCCATGTACAGTATCTGTGTAGACCCGAGAGTTGAACCTGTGACCTGTGTATTTGTAGACAGTTGGTAGGTCTGTCATGGGTCCGTAGGTAGCAGGGGTTTGATCTGTAGATCTATAGAGTAGAAGTCTTAGCGAGTTCCAGAAGTCTAGCTGTAGTCCTTCTAGAAGGTCGGCAAGTGGGCAAGTGGGCAAGTGGCGAGGAAAGTGGTGGACTAAACTGCAGTGCAATCGCAGTACGACCTCGGTAGGATAGCAGTGAGTCCACAGTCAGTCAGCGGTAAGGTTCAGTCAGTCCCAATCCGGTCCAGCAAGTACCACGGGGGACTGTGAGCACCATGGGCCGATGGCAAAGGGCAGACCAACGAGTTTTCGAAGTATAAATCAAGAGGCAGCGCCCAGCCTTTCATTCATTCCTGCGTGAGCCATGCGGAAGCAGTGTCACAACGACTTGCGCAAGGAGGTCTGCAGTGAGCCCGAAGGACGCAGTGGGCGAGAGAGAAGGAGCTTAGTATAGCGATAGGGTAGAGGCAGCCATAGCTGCCATAGCTGTAGTTAGTGTGAAGTGTGTGTGTGTATGTGCGAGTGTTCAAAGTTACGCGTGTGGGATATCCAGGGTGATCCGGTGTGTGTGAACAGCGAGTTGTTTGGGCGCTGAGTCGCCATAGCCAATTGAAAGTGAACTCGTATCTGGAAGTTATATCTCTGAGTTTTGAGTGGGCGCATGTCGCCAGTTTGCTGTGCTGCTGTTTACATGCATGAAAAGTGTGAACGAGAACGAGTCTAATTGCAATAATTTCAACCTACCAACCACTAGCGGCTTGAAATCACGAATCGGAATAATAAACGAAAAAACACATATGGAATTTGGGATGAATGGTTGTATTATGCTGAGAGCATATGACATAAAGGAAATGTTTACAAAACTCCCGCATAAGGAAATTAAAATTGCGGTTGGATGGCTGGTCGACTCCTTCCACAAACGAGGTATAAAATGGATTAGAATAAGGACAAGGGGTAAAAAAAAAAGCAACCTTTGGAAAATCCCATGGAGAAGAAGGCTGGCGGTCTTTTAGACTTTCGCACCGTCTTCTCATGGTGGATTTCCAACTTAACCACCTGTTCTTCCGGGCAAAAGGAGAAATCCTAAAGCAGAAAATTGGGATTCTGATGGGTGGGAGGGCGAGCCCTGCCTTGGCTTGTATTCTGTGCATGTACTTTGAGTCCCTCTTCTTGAGGTCACTTAGCAGTGAAGCCCGACTTCTTCAAGGCGACCGGTTTATGGATGATCTCTTACTTGCGACATGGTACGACAGCTCAGTCCCTGCAGAAAAAGAGAAGGCCTGCGAAAGGATGGACAGGATCCAAAGTTGTTATCACCGGGACCTCAGCCTGGAAAGAACGGATGCGGATAGCAGGATTATTTCCTTTCTAGAAACTAACCTCATTGCGGCTGACTTTCCGGCATGGGTCCACATGACCCATAGGTTCAAAAATATGGACTCTATCTAGGGAGGAGGGGTTAGACACTTCAAGACAATCAAKGATTATGGCTCATTTGGTGACAAGAGCCAGAAATGGGCTGTTGTGGCTGGTGCAATTTGGCGCATTAAGCAGAACACGAACACGAGATGGGCTGCTTGGCTCAGCCTGATCACTCTGAGCAAAGAAATCAGAGGGCTGGGATACCCAGTTGAGGCCTTTATTGCAGGAATTACGAAAGTGGGAAAAAGGAGCGGTGGGTTCTGGGAAGAACTGGCACTTCAGCTGACAAAATGGTACAATAAGAACTGACCCAGGATTGGGTTCCAGTCCTATCACTACATTGCAACTCCACCCAGCCAACAGCTTCCGAGGACCAGCTGGCATCGATATTTCTGAGGAAAATTACTGAAGGCACGGATGATCGTCAACTAACCGTGACTTCGAAAAATGCATGCGTTGGGTAAGGGATACAGTAGCAGCGGGAAATGCAAGATTTACTTTGGCACAACCGAAGGCCCTTCTGGATAAGTCACCGAATGATGGCGGTGGAAATTGTTTACCGTTCAGGATCCTTCATATTTTTCAGTTTTTTTGACATATTTTTTCAGTTATTCTGCGAAAATGTCGAACCCGTATGAGGACAAGAGAGGTAGTTCCCAAGCAAAGTAGATAGTATATAATGAATTGATACAGAGTGCGTGAAGAACTTTTCGAGCTGAGTAGTATAAGGGCAGAAGGGTTGAAATCGCTTGTGTTGCTTAGCGATGGTGTTCATCATTATAATGGTACTACGAGAGTAACACCCTCATTGTCATGATAAAATTTTGTGTTCATTGTGCATACAACCGATCTAATTGACCTTGCACGTGCTTGGAACGATTGCTCGGCGCCGTGAGTTTCCCTCACGCGCTTCTCATCCCTTTTCATTTCTACTATCTTTTATTGCTATCTTTATTGCTATCTCTGTCGTCGTTATCTTTTTCATCACTATCATTATTATAATCACGATTTTAACCTTTATTGCTTGGAAGGTACTACTCTGAAGTCACCTACTGATATGATCTCGGCATCCCCAAGGGGACGACGACGATGCTGCAAGCGGAGGTGTGTACGACAGTAGGAGCAACCGGGGTTGTGATTGTGCCGCTGGTTTGGGGCGCTTTGCTATGCGCCGGCGTGATCCTGCGCACACTCCCATGCGTCCTACCACGGTAGTATAGGGCGCACTCTGTAGTGTTCACGAGGGCGAGGAACTTACTCTCTCGACGATGCTGCAAGCGGAAGTGTGTACGACAGGAGAAGCGACGGAGATTGTGATGCGCCTCAGACTCGTCAGGTTTGGGGGTGCTTTGCTATGCGTCGGCGTGATCCTTCGCTCACTCCCATGCGTCCTACCATGGGACACGCGGTAGTGTACGGCGCACTCTGTAGTGTTCACAAGTGCGAGCCAGGAGTTAATTAAGGGTGAGCAGCAGCTACGGTGGGAACTGAACCACTGCAATTAGTTGCTTGGCGCCGAAGCTTACGCTCACGAGAAGCGTGGCCTTAGAAGTAGCCGAGCAGAAGTAAGTATCTCGGTTGGTAGCTCTTCGCCTAGCTAGAGTGTATGAACGAAAGAGGACGAGGAAGAGGTAGAGGACAAGGGAGGTGGTCCGGCTGCGGCAGATACAGGATGGAACAATCAGCAAATGGTAATGGCTTTCCTCCTAACCCTCCTGCTCCGAATTACCCCCCTCCTCACCCTCCTCACCCTCCTCCTCCTGCCCCTATGTTCCCTCCTTACCAACCTTTCGCCACGTTCGGGCAGCCATACTAGGCACCGATGCCTCCGCCGGGACTACAGCCTGGACAATTTGGAGGTAACTACGGGAATGGTTTCGGTAACGGGTATGGGAACAACTACGGCGGGTATGGCTACAATAATGGAAATTGGCAGGGGAGTGGGAATCCAAACCGGACATTTTTTACGAAGGAGCAAGCGAAATTTCTAGAGAAACTGAAATTCAAGCAAGCCGTGCAAGAAGCAGCGAAGCAGCAGACGGAGGTAAAGCCTACACCGACATGCAACTCTGAGCCGGGACTGAAGATTGTGGAAATCGGCAAGAAGAAGACAGAGGATAAAGAAGAGGAGATGAAGAAGTGGGTTACGAAGACATTCTGCGATTCGTTGAAGCTTCTCACTGAAAAGCTAGATGAAGTGGATAAGAAGTCCAAGCTGGCTGAGGACGAGAAGGAGGAAGTCAAGCGCCTCTGTGCTGAAAAGGAGCTACTGGAGTTGAAGGACAACTCAAGCAGCGAGAAGAGGAAAAGGCATCCCTCAACTCCATCCACCTCTCCTAGAGTGGACAATCCGCGTAAAGTCAGCAGCCAAGACCAAGAAAGCGCCAGCCAAGAGGGTTCTCATCTCCTCAGATGAAGAAGATGATGATGGGGCAGAGCTTGTACGAAAAGGGAAATTCGAAGAGGTTAAAGGGAAAGGCAAGGAGAAGGCCACTGGGGATATGACGGAAATAAAGGACCTCCTGAAACAACTCGTGACGAACTTGGGATAGACGAGGATGGCCGCGAACACCGTAGTGTCAGAAAAGGAGAAGACTAGACACGAAGAGAAAGGCGAATGCAGTACCAAAAATGGAGACCACGATGGGAGTGATCTCGCGGAGGACAGAGATGAGTTGGGTTTGACAGGGTACATGAAAAATCGAGTGGAGAACTATAGTTCCATGCGTTACACACATATTATGGCTTTATGCAAGGAACAAAATATACAATACACGAGGAAAGGGCTGGGTGTCATGGAACTTGCACGCCTGGACGTGGAAGAGTACATGAGATGCTTGGGAGAGATGGATGAGAACGGTGCTAAGGTTTCGGTCCCCGATGAGAGTGCAGTCTCCAATGAAAAAGACCAAGACGTTCAGGGAAACTAGAGAGAGCTCTTCTCCGACTGTTTGCGCGCATTCAGAGACTGGCTGATAAGAGGATCATCGACGAGCAGTTTGCTGATCGAATTCGAAGACTGACTGTACTTTACTGTTGTCTAACTTGGAAAATCAAATGGGGCCTACTATCAGAAGTTTTGGGAACGAATGAGTGATCAAGAGTTGGACAGGGTGGTTAATGGCCCTGCTTGCTGTTGTGTCTACCTGATTATTTCACCCTCGTGCATAGTAACTTATGTGGGCATGACTAAAAGGAATTTGAAACAGAGATGGAAGGAACATATTTATTCGAGTCATGGAAACAACAAGCAAAAGTTCATAACTGGCTAAGGAAGTTTGGGGAAAAGAAATATGTCCCCTTACCTATTTGGTTTGGGGGTGGCGAAGCTGAAATTCGAGCCATTGAGAAAGAGATTATACAAAGTATACACCTAGGACTGAATGGAAGGACGAAGAAAGAAAAAAGACCCAGGAGGTCGAGAGTTAAGACTAGACAAGAGAAGAAGTCCACTTCGAAATGGGGTGAACCTCTGATCTTTGACTGCCCCTCGGAGAATATTAAATCTGAACCTGACCTCCTAAAATTGATTAGACAACCGTATAAAGCTAAGAGGAAGAGAACTTTGATTGTAAACAATCAAGGAAGTTGCTGGTTAAAAGCTTGAAGGCTCATCGGATTTGTTTTTGGCTTCAGCATCGTGGAAATTAATGGTATGAGACTGCTAGTAAAGGATGCAAAGGAGATGATCCAAAATGGTGGGGCCTGGATCCTATGGGATATAAAACGAACAATTGGAAAGCAAGAAAGAACAGAGGGCGAGGTTATTGCACTACTCCGCGCGTCGTGGAAGAGAAGAGAGCTCATGAAGAACTCGCTGGATGAACTGCTGGAGATGGAGATTTCCGTTAAAACTTTGACATCCCAAAGAGACAGACAGATCACACACGACATTCTCACACGAACACTAAAAAGAAAATTTGGTGTCAATCCGGGGGTATGGCTCACAACAAAGATTCCATATAATCCATTTGTTAATAAATCAAAAATAAAGTCCGTGTTGAGTGACTGGGTTGGGACAAGGATCAAGAACATAAAACTGAGTGGAATCCTGAGGCAGCGGGTCAGGGTGGTTTGGGATAAAGCTCCCACTATCGCTGACATCCTGCACAATCAGAAGTCGTATGCTAAGGAGCAACTTGTGATCTGCCCTTGCAAGAACTTCGACCTTCCCGAAGTTGATGGGCATGTCAGGACTCGGCTCAGTGATCTCGATAAAATCTCATATTTTCTCTGTAATTAAAAAAAGTCTCCAACTCGGGGAGGAATGGCCGGTAGAATTGACATTAATAAGGCCTGCAACGTTGCCATTGCTCCTCTGAAGGCAATGGGCTTGATTCACATCCAAGAACGTGTATGCATTCATTTGTACCAAGTAAGTAGGGGTGCTCAAGATCAGAAGGATGGGGTGGTAAGCACTGAGTATATCTATGGGATCAAGAAAGCCCTGGATGGGCTGGAGCTTTCCCCAGCAGACATAAACAGTGGTGAAACGATTATTGAGTGTCCGACAAGATACATGAAAGGCAAGGATGATATGTTTAATTATAATTGCAGCTACAAAAAGGTTGAAAAATCAGAACCACAAATTCTAGCAAATATGAGGTGTGACTACAAAGAGAAGAAACTGAACAAGATTGCCAACTGGGATGGGAAAGGGAAATTACAAAATGCCTATGTCATTGCAAAGGATAAAGATCTGGAGAAACGAAGACCTATTGTCCCCACCTTTTCCAACCCCGCAAGGACTCTGTTTGGCTACCTTAGTAAATCTCTGCATTTTTTTATGAAGAACAAAAAAGATGATAATTTATTAATTTCAACCTACCAACCACTAGCGGCTTGAAATCACGAATCGAAAGAATAAATGAAAAAACACATACGGAATTTGGATGAATGGTCCTATTATGCTGAGAGCATATGACATAAAGGAAATGTTTACAAAACTCCCGCATAAGGAAATTAAAACCGCGATTGGATGACTGGTCGACTCCTGCCACAAACGAGGTATCAAATGGATTAGAATAAAGACAAGGGGTAAAAAAGCAACCTTTGGAAAATGCCATGGAGAAGAAGGCTGACAGTCTTTTAGACTTTCGCACCTTCTTCTCATGGTGCATTTCCAACTTAACCACCTGTTCTTCCGGGCAAAAGGAGAAATCCTAAAGCAGAAATATGGGATTCCTATGGGTGGGAGGGCGAGCCCTGCCTTGGCTTGTATCCTGTGTATGTACTTTGAGTCCCTCTTCCTGAGGTCACTTAGCAGTGAAGCCCGACTTCTTCAAGGTGACCGGTTTATGGATGATCTCTTACATGCCACATGGTACGATGGCTCAGTCCCTGGAGAAAAAGAGAAGGCCTGCGAAAGGATGGACAGGATGCAAAGTTGTTATCACCGGGACTTCATCCTGGAAAGAATGGATGCGGATAGCGGGATTATTTCCTTTCTAGAAACTAACCTCATTGTGGCTGACTCTCCGGCATGGGTCCACATGACCCATAGGTTCAAAAATATGGACTCTATCTAGGGAGGAGGGGTTAGACACTTCAAGACAATCAATGATTATGGCTCATTTGGTGACAAGAGCCAGAAATGGGCTGTTGTGGCTGGTGCAATTTGGCGCATTAAGCAGAACACGAACACGAGATGGGCTGCATGGGCTGTCTCTTATACACATCTAGATGTGTATAAGAGACAGCTGGACGTCGTTATTGCAGGAATTACGAAAGTGGGAAAAAGGAGCGTTGGGTTCTGGGAGGAACTGGCACTTTAGCTGACAAAATGGTACAATAAGAACTGACTCGGGATTGGGTTCCAGTCCTGTCACTACATCGCAACTCCACCCAGCCAACGACTTCTGAGGACCAGCTGGCGCCGATATTTCTGAGGAAAATTACCGAATGCATGGATGATCGTCAGCTAACGGTAACTTCGAAAAATGCATGCGTTGGGTAAGGGATACAGTAGGAGCGGGAAATGCAGGATTTACTTTGGCACAACCGAAGGCCCTTCTGGATAAGTCACCGAATGACGGCGATGGAAATTGTTTACCATTTAGGATCCTTCATATTTTTCAGTTTTTTTGACATATTTCTTCAGTTATTCTGCGAAAATGTCGAGCCCGTATGAGGACAAGAGAGGTAGTTCCCAAGCAAAGTAGATAGTATATGATGAATTGATAGAGAGTGCATGAAGCACTTTTCGACCTGAGTAGTTTAAGGGCAGCAGGGTTGAAATCGCTTGTGTTGCTTAGGCCTGGACCCCACAGGAAAAACCCCAGAAATGTTTCCAACTTCGGGTGTCCATGGAAACCCGGCTGGAAAAGTTCACCTGCGGAAAGGCGGGACCCCACAGGAGAGGCTGGAAAACGCAGTTTCCAGGAGCTTGGAAAGTCTGGAAACTGCAAATGGACCGCGCGGTGGTCATGGATGTCCGCCTCTGCTTCGACAGACCACTTCGTGGGTGTCAGGTCGTGGCGTGCAACGACACGGGGCAGCAGGTGCGGCATTGTTCAGCGACGGCGCGGGTACCGGTTCCGCCCTTGCCCGCAACGGCTGTTTTTTAGCGGACGGCAAGGGGAGTCGTTTGTGGGTGACAACAGAACGTCCGTCTACCGACCGGAAGGACCACGGGACGTGCAGGCTCGGACCACGGTTGGACCAACACTTTCCAGAAGAACTTTCCACGAGAGAGATGCCCTCCCCCCTACCCTCTCGAAATGGCACAAAATTCCGGCGCAAGATGCTCGCTTGCCGCCACGACACCACGATACGAAAGTGAAAACACGGAACTTCACTTTTTCGGACAACCTTTCCGACGCAGTGGGGTCTTCGAAAACAGTTGGAACCTCCCACAATCGAGTTTCCAGACGGCCATTTTCTTCCGATGTACTCCCGGAAAAGTTTTTCCAGGCCATCTTTTCCAGGACTTTTCCACGATTTTGTCCTGTGGGGTCCAGGCCTTAGTGATGGTGTTCATCATGATAATGGTACTACGAGAGTAACGCCCTCATTGTCATGATAAAATTTTGTGTTCATTGCACTGTTCGCACGTTTGTGCCTATATTCTACATGCTCCTGGCCACTACACCGCTCTTGTTTGTGCCTCTGGTTCTTGGGAATTATGGAGTGGCGGTGCTATGGTGCAAACTATTAGTGCCATCTGTGATCTCGTGCGTAATACAACTGTTCCAGGTCATTGACCCTACGGGTAGCTCGTATACTTCCATGCCCGCCTCTACGCCTATCTTTGTGCCTGCCTCCGTACCGGTTTTTGTGCCTGTTTCTTTGTCTGTCTCTTTCCAGATTACTAACTCTATGGGTACCGCGTGTACTTCCATCCCCGCCCCTGCAC